TCTTAATATATATATACATATATTACATATATATGTATATATATATATGTAAGATAAAAAAAAACTTGACATTCGGACACCCATAATCCGGACCTCAAAGCTACAAACTTTTGCGCATGCGTGCGCACGTGCGTAAGACCTTTACGGCTGTGAATATGCGAGTGCACGTGCACGTTTAATGTATAACAGACAGTATAAGCTAAGCTAAAATTATCTTAATTCAGTTAATTTTGCAGATTGCGTGTTTCTTCTTCGAATTGGATTTATTATTTTGCAGATGGTGTAGAGCAATTTATAAAAGTAAGCTTGAACTTTCGATTATGTAAATAGAATTTCCGATATATATTTACTAATATGTAGGATCTACAAAGAGCGAAAGTATGTTTCGAAAAGTCCATGAAACAAAAAGTTCAATTGCTGCAAAAAAAAAGGATAAATGCATATCTTTCGCTTCTCTAACCATTCCGAAGTCTGTTTATCAATTTCACGCTGCTCTGCGGGGGGGGGGGGGGGCAATTAATTGGAAGTTGATCTCTCAGCACTATCCTTACCTTCAGGGCAGATGTTTTTATTTTATTTGGCTTATAATTACTTACTAAATGTAGTATTTCATCGCGATGTACTCCGTCTTTGATATGATTTAAATCAAATTCCTCATCATTATAATTTGCTTCCGATAGTAAAGAAAGTGACACAGAGGTTATTGAAAACGAAAAAATTTTGATTGACAAATTAGTCGGTATTCTCGACACAGCAATTATAGGACTTGAACAGTGGAACTTCGTTACTGAAGAAGAAATTGTGTCTGTTTATAGAATTAAAGAGAAAGTATTATCACATAAAACGAAGCAACTTAAACAACTTACATTGAAAGAAATGTTTAGTAAAGTAAACAAATAAATATTAAGCTTTTTTTTTTTTTTTTTTTTTTTTTTTTTTTTTGTAAATTTTGATACCCTTTAGATCATAATTGTTCTTTATTTCATAAATTACGGTTTCCATATTTTTTATTTTATAATTTCTGCATGCCATCTCACCAGATTTAATTTGATGATCTATAATCCAGAAAAATCGATAATCCGGATTCGCCGAAGTCCCGACGTGTCCAGATTAACGACTTTTGACTGTATATATATATAGTAAAGTTAAATTAAATTTAAATAATTCTCTTGTACCATTTCTGCAAGAAATGAAATTTGAATTTAACAAACATTCTTCTCTATTTGTAAAAAGCAAATTTAAAGTTAATTAAATTTTAAATGAAATTGAATTACAAATAAATTATTAATTATTGCTGCAAACTAATTTACAATGTCATTTAAATTCTGAGAGCATTGAAACGAGCCATTATAAAAGTAAAGAGGGAGCTAACCTACAGTACATTGAATTTTCAAAGTAAAAATTCTTAGCTAAATTTTTGGACGGGAAAATAAAAAAAAAAAACTGGGAATTTAAATGGTATTGCTAATTTAATTCACTAAAATATAAGCTAAAATGAACTGTTGTATTTAAACAGAAACTGTAAGTAAAATTTAAATAAAGTAAGTGTAAAACTATCATAAACTAAAGAAAACCAAACTATTAGAACTTGAAAGTTTAATTTTTTGAAAAAAATTATTAGAGAAGCAAACTAGGTTAATTAGCGTAAAAGCTGCTAAGGTCAAACAAAGTTAAAGTTAAAAAAAGAAATATATTTTTAAACTGCCATGCCACTGCTGCAATGAACTTTCAAGTTCTAATAGTTTGGTTTTCATTAGTTTAAGAATTTTCTTGCACTTAGTTTTATTTTAAATTTACTTACAGTTCTGTTTAAATACAATAATCATTTTAGCTTTAAATTTAGTGAATTAAATTAGCAATACCATTAAATTCCAGTTTTTTTTTTTTTAATTTTCCTGTCCAAAAATTGTGTTAAGAATTTTTACTTAAAAAATTTACTGTATTGTAGGTTAGCTCCCTCTTTACTTTTATAATGACTTGTCTCAATGCTCTCAGAATTTAAATGATATTGTAGATTAGTTCACAATATTAGCAATAATCATTTATTTGTATTCAGTTTCATTTAAAATTTAATTAACTTTAAATTTGCTTTTTACGAATACAGAATGTTTGTTAAATTCAATATATATATATGTGTGTAATGAAGCAAAATTGGTATGTAATGTTGTAAAAATTTTGATTGTGTAGTTGCTGAAAATGTTGCATTTCATACATGTTGATCTGTAACGAACAGCAACTTGGCAGATTAAATGTTCCTTTTTATTTTGGTAAACATTTTGCCACTACAAAACAAATCCGCATACTGTCTGTGCCTTTTCAAGAACATTTATATTTTGGATAGTTTTGTGGCAAAAAAAAAGCAGCAGTCTATATAGAAAAAGTGCAGAAAGCAAGAATCTTGCATTCAGGAGGAAATCTTATTTTAAAATGAGTTAGTTTCAGTTTTCAGTGCATTTATTTGGATAATTAACCCCTTAACTGCCGCGGAAAACGTACAAGATTCATTTTCAGAGCCATGGTTTTTCACACAGGCGCGCATAGTTATGCGATGTATTAGAGGGGCAATAAGTGCAACTTTTACTTTCACAAAATAAAGAATAAAAGAGAAAAATAAATGCACAAAATTTAATGTTTTGAGTAAAAGTATAATAAAAATGATGTTTTTATAATAAAAAAGATCCCTAAAATGGAGTTTCGATCAATTCATTTTTAGACCAGTAAAGTGTAATATCAGGTTTCAGTGTCATACCTCTTGAAATCAGTATGCCTAAAAAAACATATATTTCTTCTGAACTGGTTGAATGCCATAATTTTGTTCTTGATTTTTCGTTTGTAAGGTGTTGGTACTCGTCTACAAAACGGTTAGTTTCAGTAACAATATTGTTGCATTTTTCTTTTTCTACCACCAGTTGTTATGTTATTTTCATCCTTCACGTTCGTACGGGGTTCGTAAATTTGGAGTGAATAACAACGACACTTGATGAAGTATTGAAACACACTTTTATTGGCTAATATTGTCAGGACAGCTCCAAAACACGTTTTTACAGTCGTCGATGAACTGCTATCAACACGCTGACACAGCCTCCAGGTTATCAGGCTATCACGGTGGAGACAGCTTCACGGCAATGCACTAGAGTACAGCTCCCGACTCTGTTTGGTCGTTCTCGGAACTCCACATACTCTCAAGACTCTCCACGCTACAACTTGCGATGCACTTGACGACACACAAAGCACAGCTCCCGACTCTTCAGTTCAGTCGTTCCCGGAGCTCAACACATTCTCTCGACGATGTACTAACCGTGATACACTAAGAGATTCCTTTGGTGCACTCAATGGCCCACTTGGCATTCGCTGCCCGGATGTCAACTCGATCGACTCCACATGAACTGACTAACTCAAGACATGAACTATCTCTCACTCTAGACTATAGCTCACTATAGCTTTCAGCTTGTGTTCGAGAACATTCTAAGCTAAACCGGTAAGAATTCGTTCCAGAAGGTTCTCCAACCGTCCATGGTATATCGCCAATTTTGTTGCCAAATGGGCGATTTCTCACCAAATGTGGCAGCCCTGCCTTCCCTTGCCATTTTATGGCAACCCTAAATCTGCATTGCGGGGAAGCTATCTTACCGCGCCTGTCCGTTTCGAACAATATGAAGCACAAGCAGTTCTTCAAAAAAGATAAAGGGGTTTGAAACATCCGTTATATCTTTCTTTATTCCTGCAACTTACTACAAAAAGTAAAGGAAAACGGAGGACACAAAATTTAAAAAAATACATTTTACTCAAACAACACCAGCCAATACCATGCAGTCATTACTTTCACCGCTTTAGACAAATCCTTTTCTCCAATTTCTCCCCACACTTCTCTGAAATAGTATCCTCTTTTGCATACTTTGTCAAGGTCATTGTGGTGTTGCATTCCAAAGCTTTGCGAATTGTTTTACGGGTAGCAGCGCAAAGCAAATGATAGTATTTTGGAAGAGCGTATATATACGCCCGAGGCAGTTAACGCATCGGCTGAGCAAGGTGTATATATACGCCCATGGCAGTTAAGAGGTTAATAATGCTTTAAAATCATTATTGAGTATTTGAGTTTTTGTCCCATTTATATCACTAGCATTCAATGCAGAAAAAGGTACACTATTTTTAGAACAGAGAGGAGGGAATACCAAAATTAAAAATTATTATTACTATTTTTGGAACATAGAGGGGGTAATACCCAAATTACACACACACACACATATATATATATATAGTGTGTGTTTGTGTGTTACCGACAAAGTCTGAAATCCGGCGTTCTATAGAATACCTATGCATTGTATATAATGTTTTTAACTAGCAATGTATGAAACAATTCATATTTCACACATTTTCTTAGGCATTCTATAGAATGCTAAAAAAAATTAAAGTATGAGATACATCTTCGATCTGTATAATAAATATGAAGTAGCAGCTAAGTAATAGAAAGCATCCAAATAATGGGAAAAGGTGAAACTAATCACATTATGCAAGAAAAAGAACTTGCATAAAATACATGGATTAGATTATAGTTGATAATAGATTAAACCAACATGATGAAGACTTGCTTACTAAACAGATTTCTGTCTCTGATATGTGTTGTGTGTTTAAAGGAAACTAGTGACGCACTTGCATGCAAAAAGTGTCGGCAAAAAACTCATACCTTCTGTGGCCATGCTAATAAAGATGATGAAATCATTGTGAGATTGTGATGAAAATGACATAAATAAAATTTGTCAGATTTGACAAATTTTATTTATTTATTTACTGATAACCACGCTTATCTGAAATTTGTATATTTTGGAGGTAATATTCTCAACCTTTTCAAAATTACAGCTGCATCACTGATATTTTCATCAGAGTCCTTGATATGATGATAATTGTGTGTAACCCATAATTATTCTTTACTGTAATGTTGTGATTATATTGTGAACACAGAATATGCATAGATTTGCTCATTTTAGAATGTTACTTTTTAGAGATTTCTATGAATGTTTTCAAAAACTTAGCAATGAAACAGCAACTTTGATTTCATTGTGTAAAGAAAGGAAAGAAAATATCATATTTGCATGGTAAGCTCTTTTTAAATACATTTTTAAGGTCATTTTTACTTTCTAAAACATTAACCCTCATAGTTTTGATTTCATTTGAACTCAAAATATTTATATGTTTGCAGCTGTGAAAAAGTTGGGTGTAGCAGATCACTTTCATTAGATGGTGCATTTGAAATATGCATAAGTTATAATAAAAAGGTAAGTTTTATCTGATGAAAGAATAAAAGTTGTAAATGATTTTTTTAATTATATGTTATGTATGCAAATTAGTGATAATTTAGTTTGATTGTAAAATATCAAAACTTCATTTCTTGTGCTATTAGTTTTTAAAAAAATCACTTCACAGGTTAAACAGCAGTGGCAAAAATTGAAACAGTTCATCTCTAATGAGTCAAAACTTTGGAGTTGTCTTCGTTCAGAGCTTCAAGATGATGAAGAAAAGTATGTTTTAGATGGTGCGAAGTCTAGACTAGTTGTCCCAGAAGTTATATATAAGCAGTGTGACTTCCAGTTAAGAGAAGTAAGTGCAAGATATGCTTTACATATTTTGCTGTAGTATGAAAAAAAATAGGTACTTAGGTATTGTAGCAGCCTCCAAGATTGAGTCACTAATCAACTGAGACATTTTGCCACGTGTTCTTATACCTGACTGCATGTTACATCTCGGTTGATTAGCCATTAAATTGTGGGGGCTGCTATGATAAGGAAGTACTGAAAAATATTTTTTAATACTTTAATCACGTTTATTAGAGTTAGATATTAAAAAAACATATTAAAAAATAAAGATAGTTATAAAAAATGTATATTGTGCTAAAATCTCTGTTTCTGTGAATTGAAGTTACCTGTTATATTTTTTAAAAAATAAATTGAAAATTTGTGATAGTTGTCAGAATTAGTGATTTGTCAGTATGCATGTTTCATTAATGTAACATGTCATGAAAAATGGAAAAATGATAGTGTTTTCTAATAAAAATTTGCTATATCTATAGGATTTTAAATTATGATAAAAGCCTTAAAGTATGGAAATATTTGTTATTGTTATTAGTTATTATTATGTTGTTATGAGTTTATTTGTGAACTGTAATAGTTGCTAGCTGTTCTAGGGCATTAGTATAAATTTTGAATTTTTCATAAAATTTATTGCTTTATCGAATTTCTTCATTTTGTTAAAATTGCAATTAACCAATTTAAAAAAGTTGATCATTGCAGAATTTCAAATGATTGTTCTTTACAGAGGTATCGTACATGGAATTAAAATCTTTTATTAACTACCATAATTGTTTATAAGAATTAATGTTTAAGTATATTATAAATCACAGATTAGATGCTAATATAAATTACACCAATTATTAGTTGAAAAGTCATCAGTTAAATATGTTTTTGATTGTACAAACTAGATATTCTGAATTAATGAATTGAAGAATTATTTTTAAAAATCAATATTGGACAGTGTAGAAATTTGTTATGATTAGTTATTATTAGTAGCTTATTCTGTATTTAATCCCAGAAATATTTATTACTAATTACAGTGCTCATCCAAAATTTATGAAAATTATCAAATAATTATATTAGCTAAGACATCTTCATAACAGTGTGTCACTGAAAGAGTGTTGGCTGTTATTCAAAAACACATGCATCTTCATAATGATGCTCTGAAATAAAAGTGCCAGCAGTTTCTCCTTTATAGAAGTGAACTATAAATTTGCTACATTTTTATGTCAGTGGTAGCATGTAGTCTCTGCAAGTAAAATTTCCATTTAGTGTGCTGATCAGAGTAGCAAACTAGAACTCTACTACCATAGCAGTGTTACAAGTTTTGTGTCTATGGGGACTTTGTAATAATTTCAGCAATTTTCATGTGACAAGAGATTTGCATGCTCATTTCTAGAAAACTGAAAAATAATGGAAACAGCTGAGAAGTTCTCAATACAGATTCATTAAGTGACTACAAATACATTTTTTTCACAATCAGTCATAGTGCAGTTAAAAATTGTCAACTAAATATGAAAAGGGAGAGGAGGCATTCCAAGCTTCACTTAAACCTTAAAAGATGCAGAATACAATCTCGCTCTACAGATAACTGTTAGCCATACTCCAGCCTCTCTTGATAAAGCTCCAGTAGCTTGTATTGAAAGTGTAACATCTGCTATGCAGCTTCAAATTGAAAAAAGCTCTAATTAAAAATCTCCCTATCTTATAGACAGAGGAACTTAATTTAACACAAGAAAAAGCATAATGCATACAGTGTTGCTATCAGGCCAGGTGTGATGAAAAATTACAAGAGCACTGTTGCATACTTCTCAAAAGGCAATGTACCAGGTATGAGGTTGCAATACTAGACGTAAAACAGGTATGGGAGACCTTTTGCACTAATACAACAGTGAAATTTGGTATAGCCTTCAAAATGGCCAATAACACAATCTACAGAGGCACTGCCCTTAATGAATGCAATTACTTGCCACAAAAGTGAGAATTATTCTTGAGGCTTCATTCCCAAGAGATATTGTAGATATGGATACTCCTTGTAATGCAATAGTTATGGAACAAGCAAGACTCATTACATCTAACATAGGCAAATTATTAGCAAATATTTTTTATCGCTCGGATGGGGCCAATCTGATAAAAAGGTTGAAGGACCAGATGGATTGGGCAATACACCATCATAAACAGAAATGTTTGGAGCAGTTCTTAAACTTGTGATTTGTTTCTTCATTTGTTGTTGAGAAATGGGATTATTTTCCAACTCCCTTAAAGGGTGCTGAAGTAGTCTATTTCTCAAATAAGGTCACTGAAAGACACTGCCCTTCTTCTACAGTCCAATCTGTCTCTTGCCATCCTTAGGTAAATTGCTTGAGAGACTTATATAAGACTGCAAAATGATCGATGCAGAACTGTTGGACAAAACCACTTTCAGTTTGGCTGTAAAGAAAGACTTTCAGTGGATCATGCACTATACAACCTTAAGGCAACTAGAAAGAGCATTCTTGCAAGGGTACACAGCAGTGATCTTGCTTGACATCAATGGGGCTTGAGTCACCACAGATGGAGGCATCTTCAGAAGAGACCCAGACGTAAGATACCCACAAAGCTCATGTCTTGATCAGACCGTGTGTAATGTCATAGCGGGGTTTTATTGTACTAAACTCTCTCAATTGGAATATACCTACACGAGCATATGCAGATGACTCGTAATCAGATACTCACGAGTAAGTAAGTAACTGCGAATGCCAAAAGAAGCTTAGAAACCAGGGAAAATCAAGCATTAGACTATCCTGCAAACAGGTGCTCCCAGCATAAGCTTATGCTCCGACACGAAAAAATGGTTGCCATAGTAACTGGAAATTTCAAAGTACTAATCAAATCTGCAGTTTTCAAAATTAATGAGCACTCAATGAAGATAGCAAAATGTTAAAATATCTTGGCAATATTTTAGATGATTAATTCAGTTGGAATTCTGCATAATGGAATTTCACACCTGAAAAGTAAATTATCTTGGCAGTGCAACAGTCTGCTGTGGATGACGGGAAAAACCTGCAGCATCTCTTCAGCACTTCTGAAAATGTTGTATCACACAGTGACAGAGGCCCACCAACGGCCAAGCGGTAAAGTCGCTGAACACTGGTAGTTCGGTCCGAGGTTCGAATCCCGTGAACGGGTTGGCTGCATGGGTGTTTTCGTGGTTTTCCCCATGTGTAACTTGTATACGAGCCAGTTTCCCTTAGAAAGTCCTCCATGAAGGCATCCCTCCCCTTAGGCAGATAGCCCTAGTGTGCTTTGCCATAATTAAATACACCACCACACAGTGACAGTACCAATAGTCTGCCATAGAGCATCAGCTTAGTGTACCGTATTTAAATGCAGACATTGTCTTCTTGGGGCTCCTGAAATGCAGAGAAAGTATGTTTACCGTCAAATCTAGTACTTTCTTCTTCCTAGTAATGACAATAAAATTAGCATGAGATATGAATTTATGCTGAACTTTGAATGTAATGTGAGATACTATGTAACAAGCCATATTGATTTTATTTCAGCAACAAAACCCTTTAATTGTTCCCCCTTAACATTTATCATACCATATATAGTAAACCTAAATTTAGATTGCGAAAGTAATAGATAACTTCTTTGTCATCTAATTTCATCAGTAAGAAATAAAATGAAAATTATCATGAAACATGTTATAAAATTTTAATCTGCCACAAATTATATTTTTTGAAAAACTGAATATCCAGATGGCAATGTTCAGCTTGTAAATATAGAAAATGTACTATATCGTGTGGAAAAGAATGAAGTACCAGAAAAAAAGCAAGATATTCTAGGTTAAAATATTCATTTATTTTGTTGAGTTCTTAATCAAGTTCTGAGACAAATAAATTTTGAAGATCCTCCATTAAACAATTTAGCAAAGTTGAATCCTAAAATGTGTAAATCAGACATCTTTTACATTCTAATGTCACTTCCTTTTGGATTTTTCTAATCCAGTTGAAGAAAATAGCTATAAAGATCTTGATGGAGAATGGCATCTGTTGTGGACTGTAGAGGCATTGACAAAAAGTCAAAAATTCATAATTTTTGGAAATACTCTTTTTGAAATGAAAAATTTAGTAGAACAAATGTTTCATAGTTTAGCAGTCATTAATTAAAACTAAATTGGGCCTTCCTTATTCAGTAGCAATAAAAGAACATTTCCAATTGTGACATTGGCTAAGAATAAATAAGCTACAAACTTCCTTGAAGAATGGTCCCTTTTGACAGAGAAAAAAACAACATTCATCTGCAACAAATTTTATTATTTCTTAAGAATGAACTATTTTAGCAAACTGGGAATTAATAAATACTTAGTGTTTTTCCCATTCAGTAATATATGCAATTACCATAACAATTAAATGAAATGCATTATGCAGTGCATATATGCAAATAGCATTTAGATAGCTAAAATATTTATTTCAAAATAGAAAAATTAAGTAACTAAAAATTTGAGCTCATAGATGTCTGCAGTGATAAGAATCTTGATATATTTTCCTTTTCATATTTATTGGACATATTGCTACTGTATGAACACATTACAGTTAAATTTGAATATCTATTTTTTCTTTTTCTAGGTTCTTTTTTAAACATAAATAAATAAAATATTCATTATTTCTTTAATGTTACATTTTAGTTTTAGAAATTCATTGAGTGTTAAGCTTTTACTTCATGCCAATAAATTTGATTGAATTTTCTCATTGGGTGTTTCTTTGCTACTCGGTATGCTTCAAATAAATTATCCTAACTAAATCTATGATTAATGCAAACATTTGCATCTAATAATATTGTTTTCTAAAAAGCTTTTTTTTTTTTTTTTTTTTTTTTTTTTTCAGTAAGCCCAAGTTGTTTGGTCATCATTTATTTTTTCTTTTTTCACCCAGTTTTCATATGTTTCATTTTATTAACTAAATGAAGAATGCGAAATGTTCAGTTACAATAATGTTAGTAAAAGAGCTGCCAGTATATGAAGTGTTAAACCTCTGGATGCCAAGAAATTATGTAAGTATTTTTTATTTATGATTATTATAGTATGTGGGGGCGGTTTTGGAAAATTGGTATATTTTTTATTTAAATATTTCTTCTGTAATACATTCTTAAAAGCTCATTTAATTTTTTTCTTTATTTATTTTAAATCTAGTGTGATTTTCAGAGCTCAGATGTAAATGGGAAGCTTTGCATTGAAAGGTATTTCTTTACTTTTTTTCCCCCCATTTTAGTTTAACACATTTTATTTAAAGGAATATCTTGATGTTTATAATCTGAATTCAGATCTTCTCAAACAAATGTGTATTTTTGTTATGATTATAAAACTTTATTTATTTGCAGGTTTTTAAAGCTGTTTTCGCTTTACCTGGATTTTTTCACTTGTATGTTAAATAAAGGTAAATATATATATTAATTCAAAGAGTTTCTAGGATAGAATTCTATAAAAGTTTTTGAAGAAATTTTATTTGAACTTCATTTTAAATATTGTGCTAAAATCAAACAAAATTTTCAAGTCAGAAACAAAGGTGGTAGTGCACAATCTTATTTGCAATATGCATATCTAAATTCATTTGCACAAAAAACAGCATTTAAAGTAAGTAATTTTGTGATGAGGGTGTGTTTAAAATGACAGGAATATGTGGTAACTGGAAACAAACATCTATAATTTGGATGAAAGTCATCTAATTCCAAATTTCTTAAAAGTACAGCATAGTAAATAATAACACCTTTACTGAGATAGACTGTGTATGCTATGAACTGATTTGGACAGGACTATGTATTCACTAAGCTTATGAAATGCAAGATTTTCAATAAAATTTGAATTGTCCTGATAACAATATTTTGAAATAAAAAATATAATTTCATATTAGAAAATATTTCAGTATTCTGCATTATCCACTCACAGTGAAACACTCATGGTTTTCCTTTTCCATTCTGCAGCAGTACAGGCTGAATGCATGAAGCTTTGTTGTCTTTTTCAAGTGTAATGTAAATACAGTAAGACCCCGCTTAACGCTGTTTCGGTTTAGCGCTCTTTTATTTCAACCCGGGGATTCCACGAAATCGCTCGCAGCATACGGGGATTCCACGAAAGTATGCAGCGATAGGTTTCAAATACATACCGAAAGAGTGTAATTGTATTCTGTTTGGTGCGGTATTTGTACAGACATATTTTGAAGGGGTAAATGTGGAAGATGTCGAAGAAATAATTCAAGAAGCAGCGGCTAGTCTTTCTAATAATGAGCTCAAGGAATTAACTGAACAAGAAGAAAACGAAATGTTGACAGCAGTGATTCAGAAGAAGAGCAAAAAGAACTTCGATGGCGTTTTAAAAAGGAGTTTGTCTACCATAACTGAAATAATGGATCAATTCATTGAAAATGATCTGAATTTTGACAGGAGCTCAAAAGTAAGGGTGGTGTTAGAGATGCTCTATCCGTTTATGAAGAACTTTTAAGAGAACAACGCAAAAGAAAAAGGCAAAACAACATTAGATGCTTTTGTCACAAACAGGCAGAACACTGAAAACGCAGAAGGCTAACTAAATATGACTAGAATTTTTATTTGTTTTTTTTTAAGAATATTCGTTTTGTTATTTATATTTTGTTTTTATTTTTGCAAGAAATAATAATGTGGTATTAATTTGGGCTTTAAGAATAAATGTTTGGTTTTAGTTTATTAAAAAAACATACTTTTTAAATTTAATACCTAACCAATTTCCTAGCCATCTTCCCCTAACCCCATTATTTACATGTAAAGATAGCCTCGTTTAGCGCTGTTTCGCATTACGCTCTACTTTGATGGAACGTACCCCCCATGTTAAGCGGGGTCTTACTGTATGAGGCAAATTTAGACAGAAAATCTTTCATTAAGTCATTACTTCTTCCTGGTAGATAAATATCATTGGTATTGCTGTTAACAATAAAACACACATTAACAAATTGTTTGATTAACAGAAAAATAGCTACTCTCTGGGAAATGCAAGTAAACATATTATTATTTATTATTATTATTCTACCTGCTTCAAATCTCAATGGGCATTACAGGTCAGTCATGTTGTTCTGATCTTTGCACCAGCAACCTTTTTTTATTGTTTATTTTTTTAACCTTATTATTGATAAACAGATTTAACTTTAGTGTATTACTTTTGTTGGGGGCTCTAACTTAAAATTTTTTGGGTATGTTAGTATAAAATTAGCAAAAAGGATTAGTTAGTTTAGAGATATTTACATATATACATGAATGGAGGCTTGCTACTTTTACATTTCATCAGGTGCCTGTACCTGGTTATCTGTTAAGATTACGTTTCTCTTAGAATAGACATACTCTATGATAGATCTGACGCTCTGCTATCCATAGTAATCCTGAAGAAGATCTTTGAGGCTGCATAATTCCTGGAGCTGAGGAAAGAAAGCTCTGATGGGAGAAGTGAGTGGACAGTCTTGGATGTAATGTGAGATGTCTGCTGAAGCACTCGCTGCAGGCTCATTTGATGTTTTGATGGCAAAGTGGGAAGTCTTCCGTGATTTTTAAAAGCTTGTTGTAGATTTTGAACCTGTTGGTAGGAACCACAGAAAGATAGAGTAGGTGTGTTGACATGTGTCTGAGTCATCCCAACAAGCTTGCGAGGTAGACATGAAGGTGCAGATCTTGTATTTGGCAGTGACTATGGAGAGTGGGATCTCTGAGTCAATAGAAGGGTGACTTGTGGACTTCTTTAGCTAAAGAGTCGCCCCTTCCGTTACCTTGTTACCTTGATGACTACGTACCCAGCACAGATACACTTGCTTGGAAGAAGACAGAGTAATAAGCACTTCTTTTAATGAAGAGATGTGGAAGGCTTGCGTGCCGTTCTTGTTCAGTGTAGAAGACATATGTAGTTGCTGATTAAGAGATGAAATTAAGGAGTGGGGGAGGTTTGATATAATAGTATCTTCAAAACAATTAAATATAAGCATTGCATAAACAAGCTGCAGAATTTTTATAATACATATGTATAGACAAGTAAGCATAGTATGCATTAATATGATTTAGTAATACAGTCTATTGTTTTGTGATAGATGTGTTTCAACAACAGGAATAATCTCAAGTTCACTGATGGTTGATTGGCTTAAGTTGCGAAAGACTGGTAATTCATCTCAGTTTCTATTGCTGAAAACTGAGCAAGTTGGCTGCACTCTATTTTCTTGTTTTTTTCCTCTGTGTTGCATAAATATAAACCAGCTTTCCTTAGGAACTCTTTCCTTAAACAGAAAAATAGCTTAACAGAAAAAATGTACCATAATCACTCAGTTCAACCCAGTGAACTGTTTTTGTAGTATTGATGATCATTTTGAACCTTTGTAAATATTGAAGTGATGTATAACTTTTTTTGCATTCAGAATTTCCTTTTATGTGCAGTACCCTAAAGGAATAAAAGAAAAGACGCATCCATTATGATATTTAATAAAAGCGTATCATAAAAATTTCAAAGAAAATGGGAACAAACATTTAAAAATTAATGCAGTTTAAATGCTGTATATTTTGGAATTTTCTGGGCACAGTTAAAATTATTGCAAAGTAATAGCTTATATCATTGAAACAGAGCCTTCCAAACTTGTGAATGGCTTTAGTATAGATGTTATACAAAACTATTTGATTCTTTCTGATCTCGATTTTGGCACAGTGTTTGATTTCTGATAGATTTCATTTTTGTTTTTCTTCTGTAAGATTTGGGGAGCCCATCTTCTTTAGATTTACTAACTTGTGATCCTTCATCTATGTATTATAATAAATTATTTGCATTTTCTATTATTATTAAAGAGTATTTAAAAAAAATTATTTTAAATGTATACATATTTACCATATGTTTTTCTTTTTGTAGTGGATTTATCACATCTTCATGAATTTTCTTCTGTTCCAAGTGCATCTGGTTTAGAGGAAAACACAAATAAATTAGTGTAAGTAATCTGAGTCTTTGCTGAAACCTTCATCATCAGTTTCACCTGAATACAATTCAGGTAACCCATTGCATCAAATTGGAAATGAACGAACTTACTTCGGACAGGCGTAAAATCAGTATTTCTATTCTGTGAAGCCTGAAATGAGTTCATTCTCGTTTATCAAATGCTTATTACAATGTAATGTACCATTTTTATCAATATATGATGATACTTGTTCCACATTTATATAGAAGATTAGTGCCATTAGCTGTAAAGCAGCTTATTGGAAGTGAAACAGTGTTAAAAAAAATCTGTTTTGGCCATATTTTTCTAAAATATATCCAAAGGTAAGGGGTTAGTAATTTAATATTAATGTCTTTTGAATGATATACAGTACAAAGTCCGTAATCCGGACTCGTCGTGACTTCGGCAATTCCGGATTAAGGGTTTTTCCGGATTATAGATCATTAATTTAAATCTGCTAAGATGGCATGCATAAATTATACAATTAAAAATATGGAACCATAATTTATGAAATAAAGAGCAATAATGATCTGGTATCAAAATTTAAACAAAAAAAAGCTTAATATTTATTTGTTTACTTTATTAAACAATGTAAGTTGTTTAAGTTGCTTCGCTTTTTGTGCTAAACGCGCACGCGTAACATTAGACACACATGCGTAAACGCATTACACACATGCATAAAGCATACAAAAAAAATTTATGGCTTTGAGGTCCGGATTATAGATTATTCCGGATTACAGACTTTGTACTGCAATTTAAAAAAACCTCAGTCTTAACATCTTAATCTTAGTATACATTATTAGTAAATATAAATGCAGTAGTACTCTGGTTTGCATTGCCCCATTTCATGCTGATTCATTAAAATGCTCTTTCAATTTTTGAAAATTCAAAATTTCATATTTTTTGTAAATTGATTGTTATTTTCCAATGAATTGCACACTATTAAGCCATGAGTGCAATGCATGGATGAAAAGTATTATGAAAGAGCAATGGAGTGTTGAACTATGCTGGTTACAATAAGTGCTATTGCACAGTAATTTCCGTCATATGGTCTCTCGCTCCCCACTCATCATATTCTTTCTTACAGTTTATCTAGCAGATATGTTTTTGTACATAATAAGTTCATCATTTGTGGATTATCTTTTGTCCTTTTAGTTTTATAAAAAATAAAGAAAAATTTTTCTTAGTCACATTAATTGAGATTTATTTTTCTAATAAGAGAAAAGCTGTTTCATTGGAAGTGATAATGTCGATTCAAAGATGGGGCAACTACAAGTTGGCATTGCGTGTTCTTTAAGGTTAGTATCATCTACTGTATGAACAGTTTTTCAAAATTCAGAAAAAATCAAATCTTCTGCTATAACATCATCAAGTATGTTAGCAAAAAAAGTGATGAAATGTAAAAACTCAGTTTTTGAAGAGATGAAAAAAATGGCTTAGTATTTGGATTGATCACGAAACACTACATGGGATTCCCTTAAGTCAAGCCATAATTAGGGCAACAGCAAAAAGGAGTTTTAATTTTATACAAGAAGAAATGAGTAGCACAACTAAATCTTTTGTGGCTAGTCGAGGATTGTTTGATTCTTTCAAAAAATGAACTTGGAGGATTACTGGCGAGGCAGCTAGCACTAATAATAAAGCCGTGGAAGAATTTCATAAATTAAAATGTATATATTACTGATGAAACCCTTTCATCATAAATTGTTTTCAAAATGGATGAAGCTGGTTTATTTTGAGAGAAGATGCCGTCCCATATATACATTCATTGAGAAGAAAAATGTGCGTGGATTTAAAGCATCAAAAGACAGACTCATCTTGCTTTTAAAAAGTAACACGAAAGTTGTATTAAAATTCAAGTTTTTGATTGTATATCATTCTGAAATACTATAGCTATTGATCGGAATGGACAAATTAATATGTCCCATGATTTGGCAATCAAACAGAAAAGTCTTGGGTCGCTGTAGAAGTTTCTGAAGATTGGTTTATGAATGTATTTTATTCATTGGTAAAGGTTATTGCCATAAATACACCATTGAATGAAAAGCTCTTTTGATAGATAGCACTTCTGGCCACCTAAAGTTTTAGAATCTTTGGATGCTTGTATTCCAAAGAAAGTTGTTTACCTCCCACCAAATACAACTTTATTTATAAAGCTGTATTTAGTGAGAGGTAAACAACTTTTGCCCCAGTCAGAGTGAGAAATCCATCTTTAAAGCATACTATTGTGACAGTGTTTCAGTATTTAATTTACAAAACTGATTTTAATTAAGTAAACTTAGTGCAGTTTTGAAAAATTATAATACTGTGTATGTTTTGTAAAATTTAAAACATGCTTGAAACTTGGAAGTGACATAACTGAGTGAATAAAGTTTGGAAGTACCTTTGACCAGAAATCTGTGAAAATGTTGGTGAAACTATGGAGAGAAATGAAATCATAATTGTAGCATAAACTGTAATCATAACTACTAATCATAACTGTAATCATAACTACTAATTATAACTGTAATCGTAACTATTAATCATAACTGCAGTTTTGGAAAAATTATAATACTGTTTATGTTTTGTAAAATTTAAAATATGCTTGAAACTTGGAAGTGACTTAACTAATTCATACCTGCCAACTTTTACGAATTTTTCATAATTTTTGCGAAAATGCGTTTGTCTTTACGATTTTACGATCGTAATCCATTTTTTACGATTTTTTTCCTTTTTCAAGTGTTTTTGGTGATTTTTCTCGAAATTTTAGAACTTTTCGCCAATTCAGCAATTTTTGCCAATTGCATCGTGTTTTACCGCCAACTACCGACTACTTTGAATCCAGTAACCTGCGGTTTCTCCCAACTCGCCGCTTAACCAGCCAATCCAATGCACTGAACTTGTTTCTCCCACTCTTTTCTTTGTGGGCGGCAGATTATTTTTTTCACGTTTGCTTCAGCAGCAAGGGAATTACTCAGCTCGGACTCAGCGAACGTGGATTGTTGCTTTTTTTGTTTGTTTGTTTGCACGTGCTACGAATTTTCTTAATACGTCATTGTTACGAAATGAGTTCAAAAAAACCGTATTCTCAATATTTTCAGCCTGCCTACAAAGCCGAATTTCAACAATTAAAGAATCCTTCAAAGGAAATAACTATGCATTTTGCAACGTCTGTGTGTGACTTCATAATAAGTCACGGTGGAAGAAGCGACATTGTTAAGCATGTTAAGTCTAAAAAGCATGAAGTTAATGCTTCGGCTTCGACAACGTCAAAGAAAGTGGATGATTTTTTTTCAAATTCGGCTACGAAGTTCTTTTAAATGCTAAAGTGGCAAATTTGAAATAAATTGAAAATTCATCTTTTGAAAAGATTCGTTTTTTTATTGATAAATTTCCATTTTTGTTAACAATTAAAGAAAATGAATGCCATAATGATGCTTTAGATGAACTACAGAACCAATTTTCTGCTGCACAGTTTGAAGACTTTGCCAGTTCTGGAGAAGATAGACTTGATGTCCTCGTTGGTACCTTAAAAAGAATAAAAAGAGCTGATGGAACACCAAAATATGATAGACTAGCAAGAGTTTTATGTGCTATTCTCGTAATTCCACACAGTAATGCTGAGTGCGAGAGAGTCTTCAGTGTTGTGAAGAAAAACAAAACTATGTTTCGTTCTTCAATTTCACCAAAAACTCTCTAGAAAACATTTTAATTGCTAAATGTTATGAGGAAACTAATTGTTATGACAGGAAATTTTCCAAAGAATTTTTGGCTAAAGCCAAAAAATGCACTCTAAATTCATTGCAATAATTTTTTTGTGTAACATTAAGTTCTTGTTTTATGTTTCCTAATAAATTTTTTAGTTACTACTTAATTGAGATTTACTAATGTAAGTACAATTTTCTTTTTTCTATTTGTATAAATTGTTATTTTTTTAATATCAAAGCATGATATTAATTCTTCGTGTTCTTCTGAATTTTGGAGAAATCTTCTGAATTTTTATCTTTAGAGGTTGGCAGGTTGCTAAGTGAATAAAGTTTGGAAATGCCTTTGGGCAGAAATCTGTGAAAATGTTAAAGAAACTATGAAGTGAAATGAAATCATAACTACAATTGATGCTTTGGCTCATGAAGCAGAAATAAACAAAGTTCATGAAGAGGACATTGAAAATTTGCTGAAATCTCATGGAGATAGCTTATCAAATGCAGAACTGAATGATTTGGCAGATAATGTATATGTATTGAAAATGCTTTAGAAAATATGCAGTTCAAAGGCAAGAAGTGGAATTTTAAACTCCATTCATTGTTATAAAGAAAGGCACAACAAAAAAAAAAAAAAAAAAAAGTTTTAGATATTTTCTTTGTTTAAAAAAAAAACTTAGTTTTCTATATATTATATATATGTAATAAACTAAGAATCCCCTTTGTTTGTTTGTTTGTTTTTTAAAGTACATATATGTAAACAGGAATGAATTATGTACATATGCATAATAATTAATAAAATTAATATTTATTTTTGAACTATGTATTTCACAGTTAAATACAGTCAAAAGTCGTTAATTCGGACATCCATAATCTGTAATGATCTATAATCCGGACCTCAAAGCTACGAACTTTCTGCGCATGTGTCACATTGAGGCATGCGCGTAAGACCTTTTCGGCTGCGAATATGCGTGTGCGCAAAATACGTTTACGAATGCGCGTTTAATGTATAACGGACGGTATAAGCTAAGCTAAAATTATCTAATTCAGTTAATGTTGCAGATTGCATTGTTCCTTAATCTTCGAATTATTTTTTTGCAGACTGTTAGAGCAATTTTATAAAAGTAAGCTTGAACTTTCGATTATGTCAAATAGAATTTCTGATATATATTTACTAATATGTAAAGGATCTACAAAGCGAAAGTATGTTTCGAAGTCCATTAAACAAGTGGAATTGCTGCAAAAAATGGATAAAGGTATATCTTTTGTTTATCTAAACTTTAACGTTTGTTTATCTAAACTTCGTGTATCTTTAACGCCGCGGCGCGCAATGAATTGGAAGTTGATCTGTCAGCACTATTCTTATCTTCAGGGCAGATGTTTTTATTTTATTTGGCTTATAATTCCTTACTAAATTTAGTATTTCATCTCGATGTACTCCGTCTTTGATATGATTTAAATCAAATTCCTCGTCAATATAATTCGCTTCCAATAGTGAAGAAAGTAACAGAGATTATTGAAAACGAAAAAATTTCGATTGACAAATTAGTCGGTATTCTCGACACAGCAATTATAGGACTTGAACAGTGGAACTTTGTAACTGAACAAGAAATTATGTCTGTTTATAGAATTAAAGAGAATGTATTATCAAATAAAAAACGAAGCAACTTTAAACAACTTACATTGAAAGAAATGTTTAATAAAGTAAACAAATAAATATTAAGCTTCTTCTTCTTCTTTTTTTTTTTTTTTTTTTTTTTTTTTTTTTTTTTAAATTTTGATAGTCTTTAGATCTTAATTGTTCTTTATTTCATAAATTACGGTTTCATATTTTTTATTTTATAATTTCTGCATGCCATCTTACCAGATTTAAACTGATGATCTACAATCCAGAAAAATTGATAATCCGAAATCGCCGAGTCCGGATTAACGACTTTTGACTATATTGTTTTTAACCATATTGTATTTGTGTTCTTTATTTTTATTTATTTATTTAAAACTTCACCTGATAGTTTAAATGATTGTTTTTGCATTAAAAAAGGTAATTGACTCTATTTTATGTTTGATTTGCTTAGCACTCCTTTTTTCATGCACTAAGAGTGTAAACCAGAGTATTAATGTACTTAATTTCATGATATTTGATGAGGTATTAGTGGGAAGAAATTTCATTCTCTTCAACAGGTCATTGCTTTCTAATGAATTCTCAGTAATAGTAAATTCATAAAAGAAAAGCAAAATGAATCAGCTAAACAATCAAATTAACTTACTTTATTTTCCTTTTGCATTATTAAATTCTTTAGCATCTGAGTATGGTGATCCTTCCTTCCCAAAAATATAGTTTTGGTTTACAGTCTAATGCTTGGAACAGTTTATAAAGTTTCAGGAAGTTTTAAAAAAGTATTTTAAAAATTGCAATTTATTCTTCAGATGCAGATTTCAGTTTAATACCTGAAGCATCTCTTAAGTGATCACAAAAAGACTACTAGTTAGATAGTTAATCTCTCAACAGTTCAAAATGTAGAACATAAAATTATATATTTAAAACAAGCTGTTCATAATAGTTGTGGCAGATGGTAAAGGGGAAAAAGTACTATATTATTCCATCATAAATTAATACCAGTACAACATTAATTTTGTGCACTTACTTAATAAATAAAAAAACTATCCAAGACATGACTGTGCACTTTTTGCACTGAATTGTTTGCATATGAAGCTTGAAACAGACATTTCTCCCAAGTAAAATGGCAATATGCTAGGATGTCAGATCTTCAAATAAATAAATAAACACTTTTGAAAATTCCCTTTAAGGTGTAAAAGAAGGGAAGAATGTTATCCCTGCTTACAGCTTTTATCTCAAGATACCTTAGAATACTAACTAATAACTGATTTTATACTATTAATTGGATAAAATTATTTTCAACTGTCAATTTAAATTGTCTAATTAAAAATGAAACAGAAAATTTGTCATTGTGCTTTTGCAGTGTCAAAATGCAGTGGTCTCAACTTCTGGTCCCTGAATTTTTTAGATATGGACTGAGCTTATCAGCATGAGGAAGGGGAAAAGATAGAATGAATAGGTTGGGGTTTTATCTTTCTCCCTGTACACCATGCCACTAGTGACTAGGGTAAGGTAGAAGAATTTCCCACTTTTTTACAATGAACAAATTTAGTTTGTCAGCTAACAGCTGATAATAATTCAGTATTCTGGTGTTTAAAAGATGGTTATATAGTGATGTTAATTCAACAACTGGAATTACATAAAATAAATGCCAGTCTAAGATTTAATATTTAGCTGTCAATACATATGAATTCCAAAGTTTAACCAGCAGAAATATGTAGCAGGTATTAGTCTTTTAAACTTCAGGTAGAAAATAGATATAAATTAAAATTTTTCTCTTTGCATCAATGTTTATGTACTTTTTGATAAATAAGGGAAATTTAAAATTTAGTTACTTTGTTTGTTATTATTTTGCTAAAAATGTTCTTAAATTTTGTTAAAAAGTGTTGTGGCACATCAGCTGGTTTAAGATCATGCAATTTGAGCTTGAGACCACTGTCATAATGGACTCGGGTTATATTTAGATTTGCAAGAATGTATAAATGAAAATGAGTCAGAAGTTTTCTTTAAAGATTCTGTATTTTATATATGTACTGTTTGTACTATAAAAATAATGTGTATAGTATATCTGGGTACATATAAACAAAACCTTCTATTTCAGAAAAACATTTGTTTGTGAAATTATACCAGGCATTAAGAACAGTATAAAAGAACTTGAAGATAATTTATTTACAAGTGACATTTCTGAAGTAAGTATATTTATAAAGCTTTAAACTACAGAGTGTTTCAAAAAGAATATACATATTTCGAATGCATATATTTATTAAACTGTATGACATACAAATATGAAACTTTGCATACATATGTACAAACCTCTCAAGTTCAGATTACAGATGTTCAGTATGTCCTCCATCAGCGACACGAACAATTATCACATCGATACTCAAATTCCTCCCATACTCGGACGAGCATGTCCGTCATCACTGATACTGTGACAGTTCGGATCCAGTTCTTCACCTCTTCCAGGTTCTGTGGGAGTGGTGGTACATAAACTTTGTCTTTAATGAAACCCCACAGGAAGAAGTCACAGGGTGTCAAATCCGATGACCTTGGAGGGCAGCTGAGACATGCTAAGTCGCCAGCTCTTTGACGAAGAGTCCAACGGTTCGGTAGAGTTTCAATCAGATAATCAGGCACTTAGCAACACCAGTGAGGGAATGCTCCGTCTTGTTGAAAAATGAAGTTGTCTTCGTGCAGCCTCATAAATAACCGGTTTTGTAACATAGCGAGATACTGCTGACTGTTAACCGTGTTTCCATCAAAGAAGAATGGGTCATAAACAGATGGTCGGGATATCCCACAAAACACGTTGATTTTGGGAGAATCTTGTACATGTTCAATGGCTGCATGTGGGTTCTGTAGGCCCCAAATTCGAACATTGTGTTTGTTTACATGACCACTAACATGAAAAGTTGCTTTATCACTGAACACGATGTGTTGTGTGAAAGTGTTATCGTTGTCAATAGCATCAATAATCTCATTACGAAATGCCACTTGTTTGCGTTTGTCATCAGGACGCAGAGCCTGTAACAAATGTAACTTCTATGGCTTCATAACCAACCGACGTCTCAAAACATGCCAAACTGTTGTTGTAGGCAGTTTTAACTCCCAACTGGCACGATGAGTTGATTTTGAAGGACTATGTTGGTAGGCAGTTTGAATTCATGCAACATTTTCGTCGGGAATACAAAGAAGGCCAGGACTCTTTCCTTTACATACACATCCTGTATTTACAAACAGTCAATACCATCTGTGAATGTTCCACCCATTTAGAGGATCACTTTGGTACCTCAACTTGAAACAGCTTTGCACTGTAAACATGGAATTGCACTTCACAAACTCGAGAACACAAAATGATTTCTGCTGCGGAGTAGCCATTTTAAACATGTAACGGTTACCACGCAAAACAGAAGACAACTGACATCTAGTGCCTATTAATATAAACTGGACTATGTATTCATTTCGCCCGGAGCTGAGCACAGTGATCAATAGTTTGGATAAAATAACACTTTGTAATGCATATATTCTTTTTGAAACACAGTGTATTTCAGATATATAGTATAGTACATTTGATGACAGATTTGAAATGATTAAAAATTAAAAGTCCCCCCCCAATGGACCATTAACCGTAAATGCCAACAATGTGAAGCATAGATTTTTACTTTAAATAAACATTAAGGAAAAAGGCATTGAAAGTCATAAAGCTTTCCCTACTGCTGCATTGTTAAAAACATGAAAACGGTGTAATATGTAATGCACATTCAACCATCAATTTACGTGCTACTTTTTTTTTTTGTTGTTGTTGTTGTTGTTTATAAATGTTTGGGTGTATATATATGTATATGAAAATTGTCTTGCATGTTAACCTTTTACATGTCGCATCCCGCTAAGATAGCCAACAGTTTGTAATGTCACTAAACTTCTAGTCTTCAGAAGGGAGGCTTCTGTTTAAGAAGCAGTTGATACAATACAAAATCTGAGATCTGAAATCATTGGAATTTCAGTGATTCCAGATTTCGGAAATTTCCAGATTTTAGATTGTCAGTTTAAACTAGTAAGATGACATGTAGAAACTGAAAATATTCTTTTAGAAAGATATTACAGATAATCGCCATTCTGTTGATAGATGATTAAGGCTTTTTCATCACAATGTAAGTCTTCAGTTATATTAGCTTCATTTAACATTTCTTCTTATATTCCCGTTCAGAAAATTTTGCTTTTTACTTGTGATGTCCGAAAACCTTCTGATTAATAGATTTTATCATCATCATGATTATCGGGATATAAGCGATTTCAGATTTTTTTATCATCATTTAAATCTTGTAAGATACTATATGGAAATTGTAAAATTAAAAATATAAAATAGCTGTAATAATTGTTTATGAAATAATGAAGCATTAATGACTTTAAAGAAACTAAAATTTACCAATAAAGCTCAATATTTATTTGTTTGTTTTACTAAAAAAATTTTTATTATATAAGTTGTTCACATTACTTTTTTGGGGGGAGGGGCAATACTTTTTCTAATTTTATTTTTAGACATTATTTTTTATTCAGTTACAAAGTTACATTCTTAAGTCCTGTAATTATCATGTCGAGAACAAAAGTGTGATAAAGCAACATAAAACTGTGCCTAGAGAGATTTCATATAGCTAAATATTGACTAACCCAAAACTATACATCACCTTCACATCAAAGACAAAAATTACTAAAATTTTAATGTTACCAGAAATGCATTTAAACATTTGATGCATACTTTAGTTTGAGAAAAGTCAAGTTATGTTGTCTACAGTAGAAGTATCCGCAGCAAAACAAAATCCAAATCCAAAAGCAGCTAACAAAAGAGGTACAGTCATAGCAGTATATATATTGTAACATAGTGCTGGAAATGACAGTGCCCCCCCCCAAACTTTCATCAGTATTGTTGATGAAGTTAAATGTTTTTGTGATACAAATGTGCTTCTTATTTTCCTGTCCTTCCCAATGCATTCAACCTTTTCTTTACTCAGATTCGAAAAGATTTCATTTAAAGAAGTTTTATGAAACTTAATTAGAAATGCAATAAAACAAAAATTACACATGGGGGGAAGTAGAAAATATAACTTACATGCTGTAGAAACTTTATTCTATAAAATTCCCAGTAGTATAAAAGATACTGCTATTACTTATCATCCTGATCTGAACTTAACCTGGATCAAGTCTCTGAATCCATCATGGTCAGACATATCGCTCATAAGAAGACCAGTCCCATGCCAAGAGAATGTATTTGAGGTCTCCTGTTTCTTCTGTCACCTGCCTTTCAAGGTGACTCAAATAACATTTAAGTGTATCTATGCTGCAATGGAATTTCAACTCAGTCCAATGATATGGCAGCTGATACTGATGACCAATTACCATACTGATCAAGGCAGAAATTAAATAAAAAGGTATATGTGGGGACACATCCATGGAACAAATATTTTGTTTAAATTGATGATTAAATGTATTCTAAAATTAACATATTAGTTTTTAGATTTCTTCACATGCTTATATGAACCATGCTACCATGAATTCATGATAATTTATCTGATTATTTTGGGTTTATTTAACTTTGGTGAAATTAAATTTTTATTTTATTAGAAAGTGTGCTATTCTGCTGCTATTAAATAAAACTTTTCTCTACTTAATAGAAGTTAAAACACAGTTTTTAACAAATGACTTAGCACATTGAAATAACAGTTACACTTTTTTTAACAAATTCCTTAGCACATTGATTAATCTATAGAGTTCTCTTATCTAGCGGCATAAACCTTGTAATTGAATTTTCTATTATGTTCTGTTTTGATGCTTTTCAGCTTAGGTGGTTGATGATAGGGAAAGAATGGGCAAGACCCCTCATCTGTCATCTCTAACTATACTGTAGAGATTTGAGGCTTATTAATGTGAGGGACAAAAAAATATTAACTGTGCCCTCCTTGACATTTGAGTCAGTTCCTAGCTTGGCATGCTAACCACTTATGCCATGAGGAAAACATATTTCATTAGGTTCTTCCAAACTTAAAGGGCAACTGGGAAAGGATACTAGATACATTCAGCTGAATGCAGAAGATGATAAAGATTTATCAATTGTTTCATTCTATATAAAAACATGCACGAGAGAATGTGATAATTTCTTATAATTATTTAAGTGAAAATTGAGTTGGCATTAAGGTAATTGCCTCAGTGTTCTTTCCTTTAATCAAATCAGCCGTAATCCAGGCATACATATATTGCAGGATGATTCATTTTGTGATTTTATTATAAATTAATTTGTCTGTTGTGATAATTGTAATTTTGCTTTATTTTCAATTATTTTTCCAAGTAATATTCTTTATATAACAGATTTTAAGTAAAGAATTCCCATCATCATCTGCAATATCTTTTGATCCAGAAAGTGCAACACATAAAATGAGTTTGAATGAGTCTGCTACATTGCTCAAATCACTTTGTGAAGGTAAGAAAAGCTTATATCCATATAATGTTTTTATTTGTTTTTATAGTGAGGGATAATCCATTTGAATAATCAAAAAAATATAATCACATTTTGATACTATAAAATTTTACTAAATAATCAGCAGTAAATTAAGGAAATTCATATGCGGTAATCACTTAATGTAAAGGTAAATGCTTATCGTCTTTTTAGTTTATTTTAGGGTTGTTAGTTATGAAATGTAGTGTAAAAGGATCTTTATTAGCTCAAAAGGGCTGTTAGACCCATCTGTGGTGGTTCACTTTTCAAACTGTTGCCACCAAATATTATCGCCATGTATTATATTCAAAGAAACTAAATAATGAAGAATCTGCATGAATGTTTCTCACATTGTGAAAAACAGCAGTACCTAGTGCCATCAAATTTTGAATCCTCCAACCGCACATGGGCACTTGGAAGCCCAAATTTTGAATTTGTTTTATTATCTGTTTACTAACTCAGTTCTTTAGAAGCATTTTGTGGAAATAGTATTGCCGGATCTCAGAGTTGATGTTCCAGCGGCTACATGCCGAAACATCTGATTTTAGCATGATGGAGGGCCTGCACATTTTAGCAGCACTGTGCGGGAATACCTCAATAAGACAAATCCTGATTACTGGATCGGCAGTGGCAGACCAGTCGCATGGCCACTGCTATCTCCCGATCTGACTTTCCTGGATTTCTGCCTGTGGGGATACATAAAGTCCATGGTGTATGAGACAACCATAACATTGAACATGGATTTCTTTGCTAGGATCTTGGAAGCGGTGAAACACATGCCTACTTTGAATGGGTCTCTGAATCCATGCATTGACATTGTGAAGCATGCATTGTGGTGAATGGAAGGAATTTTGATATCTTCTATGATTTAACTATGTTCTTTAATAAAAAGCATATCACCACCTCTTTTGACATGCTTTCTTTCTTTCTCTCTACGCTTGCAAACATTTCCCTCTAACAGTTGCTGTTTGCTTTTTCGGACATGAGTTCCTATGTAAATCTTTGTCATGGTATGTCATACCAGCACTTTAAATTTGGCAATGACCCGTTGATACATTCCGTATATATATATATATATATATATATTATTTGTTATAAAGCGTGTGTGTGTAATTATATGAATTTTCCTGTATAGGTGAATTTTGAGTAACTTCAGATTTCTTGTTCCTAAATTTTCTCACTGCTACATAACATGCGTAATCTTTAAAAATAATAATAATAATTTTTATTTCTATAGGAATTATTAACACCCTAGAATATCAAAATAAAAAACACATTAACAATTGTAGGAAAAAATAAGAATATGTGTTTAAATCTTCATCATTTTAGATGTTGTTTAAAAAATTTTTGTTCTAATGATATCCTCAAATCTCCATATAACAAAAAATACTCTGTGTAAAAATCAGGTGAATTAATCATTTTAAATTGCTTACCATGAAATGTATGTAAAAGTAAGTATTTAATAATCAAATTACTTTTATTACATCATTAAACAATATCTGACACCTCATAATTCATAAGTTCCTTCTGAAATTCCAGTGAACTTTCATCCAATGGAAGTTTTGTTTTAATGAAAAAAGTTGCTCAGTAGTGATTTTTTTGAATAATTTAAATGTTTGAGAGGTTTTTCTATTTTATATTGTAGTATATATTTGTCATTATATTTTTAGAAAGTTTGCAGTCTGCAGATTCAGGTTTGGTGACAGTTATTTAACAGTGCAATGTGGACAGCTGAATGAACCATTGCAAAGCAGGTAGGAGTACTGAATTTATGTTCTGTTTTGAATCAATTCTACTAAGTTTTTTTTTTTTTTTTTGTATATTAAAAAATGTGTTGACAGCTTGTTATTTTAGAAAGGCGAGAATGTAATTCAACCAAGAATGATAAATAACTGATAATAGAGCAGTTTGGTTATAACAGTATCATTGAGCCATTTTTTATATTCCTATATTGCTGTATGATGCATGAAATGAGTTGGCTGAATAACAATATTAGAGAATTGTATTAATAATAAGTATGAATAGCAATTAAATTAAACGTAATTTAATAAAGGATCATATCCTGAATTTTTTTATGGGGTAAAGATGAAAAACTATTTATTTATAATTTTTTAACATTTATCCTATATTTTCATACATATATATTCAAAGCATTGTGTTCAAGCGTAGCATCCCAGTTTTTTCCTGCAAATTAACATTGAAAAACAAGTGAATAAAAGTATTGTTGCGTTTTTCTTTTCTGACATCACTTGTTACGTTATTTTCTTCATGGTTTCATGCAGATTTGGAGTGGATAACGATGACAACACTTGATGGAATATCGAAACACACTTTATTTACCAATATTAATCAGGATAGCTCCAAAACACTTTTACAGTCATCGAAGATCTATGATAAGCACGCTGGAACAATCAGCGACATAGCCTTCACACTGTCAGGCAATAACGGTGGAGACAGCTTAACTGCAAAGTACCAGAGTACAGCTCCGACTCTGCTCGGTCGTTCTCGGAACTCCACGTACTATCAAGACTCTCCACGTTACAACTCTCGACGACACACAGAGCACGGCTCCCGCCTCTTCGGTCCAGTCATTCCCGGAGCTCAACACGCTCTCTCGACGATGCACTAACCATGATACACTAAGAGACTCTTCGATGCGCTCAACGACTAACTCGGCGTTAGACTTCGAGACACTCACTCAATGACTGACTATCCGCTTGCTAGACGAGGCACACACTCACCGACTGTGGACCAGCAGGGTTTATATAACTTTCGGCCTGTGTTCGAGAACATTCTGGACTAAACCGGTAAGAATTCGTTCCAGAAGGTTCTCCATCCGTTTACAGTATATTGCCAATTTTGTCGCCAAATGGGCGATTTCCCACCAAATGTGGCAACGCTGCCTTCCTTTGCCATTTTATGGCAACCCTAAAACTACTTTATGGGGAAGCCATCTTACCGCACTTGTATATTTCGTAACAGTATTTTAAATTATGAAAATCTGATTAAAATAATTGCAAAATATACAGTTAGCTATCAATTAACTGGGCCTTTTCTAAAAAAAATTTAAGTTCATAATTTGTGGAATGATGGAAATATTAGTCTCATAAATAGGCAAAACATAGAACAAAACTGTCCATAAAAAGTTAGGAAAGTTGTGCAAGATAACAGCAGTAGTAGCAGGTGATGTCTGCCAGATAAAAAGTTCTATTTATGCAAATTTGAAATTAATTAAAATTTTATCATTAAAGCAGTATTTAGGCTATATGAGAAATGGTTTTTATTTTTATTTTTATTATTTTTTTTAATACAGTAAGCTTTGAATTCTCAATCTGTCTCTCTGAGCCTCTGTTTGAAATTAAAAATCTTGCACCAATTTTTTTTTTTAATTCTCATGCCTCTTTTTTGAAATTGAAAATTATTAATCACTTTTAAATTATAAGCTAATATATTCTAAAGGCTCATTACCACTACTGCGTACGAACACGTTGCGTCAATTGAAGACACGCCTACGGCATCCGTACAAGCGTTTCCACTGCTGTGTATCCATAAAATATTTTCATTTTCCGCCGCTAGGTGTCACTGTAATATTTTGGCGCCAAATAAGCAGTTCACGAGTTACGACGCTGAACATCTGAATTTTTCCCGCTTAAGCGAGTATTGTTTGTTTTGGATTTGATATGGATCCTGACGTAAAACGCAAAAAAGTTTTGTTTACTAAATTCCATGTTATTGGAAATTTTTATTTCTGCTTATGAACTGCGAAAGTAAAGTACGCTAGCAATTTTTAGATAAGTAAGGTTATAATGCATATTATGAACATCACTAATTCCATAGAAGCTGAAGTAAATTTTTTAAAAAAATCTGTGTTTCTAGAAGCCTTAAATATTAATATATAATATAAATAATATATATATTATTAAAACTAAAATGTACTGTTAGTGAAAAGTAAACAAATAAATAAATAAAATAAAAAAGTTAAAGGGATTAAAAAATAGTTGGTACTTTAAAAGTATAGAGCAACATTAAAGAAAGGTTCACAATATTTACGCAAAATTTGCTATGCTTGTATACCGCTGACTTCAGGGTCATAGCTGGATAATTTATTAGAAATCTCGTTTGCTTTAAAATGCACTATGGGCAGTTATATTTTATGCATAATCCATAAAATATTATTTTTAATTTAAAACATTTTTAATTCATATCTCTTTTTATAAAAGAAGTTATAAAAATAAGATTTTTCTCTTTATATATACACACATTAGGTAAAAAAAATGGAAATATTTAATTAATTAATTCCTGCACTTCTGCTGGAGAGGACTGAATTTAAAAGCAATTATTATAGTAATTTTTTTGTTAAAAAAATGTTTAGAGCATTAATACTGTCTCATATTAATTGGAATGAAAGTTTAGAGTTGTAAACATCCCAAAGTCTGAGCGTATGTATATACATTCACATAAAAGTGAAACGAAAAAATATACATATATATCTGCAGGGTTTCAAAATAAATTAAATTTAAATAATTCTCTTGCGCCATTGCTGCAAGGAATGAAATTTGAATTTAACAAACATTTTCTATTCGTAAAAAGCAAATTAAAAGTTAATTAAATTTAAATGAAATTTAACTGCGAACTAATATACAATATCATTTAAATTCTGAGAGCATATGTAAATCAAGTGCAAGTATCAAAATCTGTGAATAAATATATAATTCCAAAAATTTATTTATCCTATTATTCACTTATGCATTATGCATTTTTATAAATTTTTTGGGATTAAATCTATCCTATTATTCATTTATGCATTTTTATAATTTTTTAGGATTACTAATCTATCCTATTATTCACTTATGAATTTTTGTAATTTTTTTAGGATTAATAATCTATCCCATTATTCACGTATGCATTTTTATAAATTTTTGGAATTATATATTTATTCATGAATTTTGATACTTGCACTTGATTTACATATGCTCTCAGAATTTAAATGATATTGTAGATTAGTTCGCAGCAATAATTAATCATTTCTTTGTTTGCATTAAATTTCATTTAAATTTAATTCACTTTAAATTTGCTTTTTACGAATAGAGAATGTTTGTTAAATTCAAATATATATGTGCAGGATATGCTTTAAATTAGTATTATATAATTTTAAAACTTTTTTGCGGGAAAAATTTAAATAAATAAGAGCATAAATAAAACAATATATTTAATGCATATGATAATAGAAATAAATTATAAAACACGAATATAGATCAAATTGGAATAAAAAGGTAAGAAAGTTGCAGACAGGGTGCAAAAAGTGTATGGGATTCGAACTCACGACTCCAAAAAATGAACATCGTTGCCATCAGCTTTACCACTAAGCTAGGATTGCACGTGAGTCGCATGCATATTTTGGCTTATATACATCATCAAGTAAATCAATTCTTAAAACTTAAGTTTTTTGGTCCTATTTCAGTGTGCTATCGTCTGAAAAATTCACCAGAGTTTGTTCTTCAGCTTCTAGTACATTTTTTACAAAAATCATTATCTTTTAAAGTGGCGTTCCGATTGAAGTTAAACGGGCTGCTAAAAATATATTTCATGTGCTTACAAATATATGTTAGCCAAAAAGATATATTTATAAAGGGAAATACAAATTTAACATACTCTTCAATGAACTGGAGTATTTAAAAGGCTATCAAATTTAATTTATAATTAACGTTTTTAGTTTTTACCTGTTTCAAAAGAAAAAAATAGCAAATCTTTTAATCATATCTAATTTGCTGTAGCAGTTTGATATAGTCAGACATTCATTTTCATTAAAGCTAAATGAGTATGCAAAACTAAAAAATGATTATCAGAACAAATTTTGCTATTTCATGGACTTGGAATTATAATTTTTGCCGCTGATTTTCTTGAACTGAATTTCTTGAACGAACAAGTACTCTAGTTGCAGTTATCTTGTTTTTCTTATCTTTTTTTAACTAAATTCAGCTGATTGCTGTCTTTTTCAGCACGCAGATTTCTCGCTATAATGTTAATTCAGAAATAAGTATTTTTTAGCAAAACATTATTTCCCTATTAGCAAGCGTTCATCGCTACTTCTGCCGCTATTAATTTTTAGTGACTGCACCTGATTGCTCCTTTTTTACCACGTGCATACCTGCCAACTTTTACAAATTTTTTCTAATTTTTACAAAAATTCGTCTTTACGATTTTACGATCGTAATCCATTTTTTATGATTTTTTTCCTTTTTCAAGTGTTTTTAGTGATTTTGTCGAAATTTTAGAATTTTTCGCCAATTCAGCGTTTTTTGCCAATTGCATCGTGTTTTACCGCCAACTACCGACTACTTCGAATCCAGTAACCTGCGGTTTTCTCCCAACTCGCCGCTTAACCAGCCAATCCAATGCGCTGAACTTGTTTCTCCCACTCTTTTCTTTGTGGGCGCCAGATTATTTTTTTCGCGTTCGCTTCAGCAGCAAGGGAATTACTCAGCGAGCGTGGATTGTCGCATTCTTTTTTTTTTTTTTTTTTTTTTTTTGTTTGCACGTGCTACGAATTTTCTTAATACGTCGTTGTTACGAAATGAGTTCAAAAAAAACCGTATTCTCAATATTTTCGGCCTGCCTACAAAGCCGAATTTCCAACAATTAAAGAATCCTTCAAAGGAAATAACTATGCATTTTGTAACGTGTGCGTGTGTGACTTCATAATAAGTCACGGTGGAAGAAGCGACATTGTGAAGCATGTTAAGTCTAAAAAGCATGAAGTTAATGCTTCGGCTTCGACAACGTCAAAGAAAGTGGATGATTTTTTTTCAAATTCGGCTACAAAGTTCTTGTAAATGCTGAAGTGGCAAATTTGAAATAAATTGAAAATTCATCTTTTGAAAAGATTCGTTTTTTTATTGATAAATTTCCATTTTTGTTAACAATTAAAGAAAATGAATGCCATAATGATGCTTTAGATGAACTACAGAACCAATTTTCTGCTGCACAGTTTGAAGACTTTGCCAGTTCTGGAGAAGATAGACTTGATGTCCTCGTTGGTACCTTAAAAAGAATAAAAAGAGCTGATGGAATACCAAAATATGATAGACTAGCAAGAGTTTTATGTGCTATTCTCGTAATTCCACACGGTAATGCTGAGTGTGAGAGAGTCTTCAGCATTGTGAAGAAAAACAAAACTATGTTTTGTTCTTCAATTTCACCAAAAACTCTAAAAACATTTTAGTTGCTAAATGTTATGAGGAAACTAACTGTTATGACAGGAAATTTTCCAAAGAATTTTTGGCTAAAGCAAAAAAATGCACTCTAAATTCATTGCAATAATTTTTTTGTGTAAGTTCTTGTTTTATGTTTCCTAATAAATTTTTTAGTTACTACTTAATTGAGATTTACTAATGTAAGTACAATTTTCTTTTTTCTATTTGTATAAATTGTTATTTTTTTAATATCAAAGCATGATATTAATTCTTCGTGTTCTTCTGAATTTTGGAGAAATCTTCTGAATTTTTATCTTTAGAAGTTGGCAGGTATGCACGTGACCCCAACGCATCCGCAGACATGCGGATAGAAGTTGAACATTGTTGAAATCCATCCGTATGTCATCCGTCACCGCACACTGACCGGATTGCAGATGTCATTCAAAGTGAATTCGCTCGCTGATTGGAGAAACGCATAGGCACCGCAACGCATACGCAGCAGGGAAAACAGGCCTTAAGTGACAAAGAATCTTATGACTGGAGCGCCCCTTGGGGTTAAGGGATAGATTTGGGAGTGTAACTGAGAGTTAAAATTGCGAAAAAAGAAAGGGATCGGTATTTAAAATTACTATCTAAATATCAGAGTTTTTGCTGGAAACAAAGGACCTTTATGTATAAACTCTGCAGAAAAAAAAATTATTGATCAGTTTTTGACTCATTATTTCGTGGTGACAGTATCTCTATGTATATTATTATGTTCCACTAGTACATATGTACAATGGATGCATAATTAAAGGCATTAATCATGATCTTTGCATCAACTCGATTGTGTACAAAACAAACGATGTAAATGGCTACATTGTTATCACAGAAAACTTGTCATTCCATATAGCATTAGAGAATCTTTCTTTAATTTATTTTCATAATTTTATATGTGATTGTTTATGTAAATTTTTATTCACTAATTTTTATAATTGCATAAATTTATTTATTTTTATGCAATAACTTTTATTTGAAACTAATGCAATTATTTATTTTTGTTTCAGTTCTCATAGAAATGTTCAGAGATCAGAATATAGTACTGATGAAAGGAGCAATATGTGCCTTAAAGAAATGAAATTATCAGATAGTGTAAATATTTCTTCAAGTATGCATAATACATATAAAGGTCCTCCTAAAGATGGATTGCAGACTGATAAGGTATGAAAATGTTAACACCTCACATGAGTCACTTAGATATGTAAATAAGTTGTAAATGAAACTGTTACTTGTGAATTCTGCAAAATGAAATTTCCAAAGAAAAATTTTAAATGTAGCATGATCGTAATGCATGATGTAATGTAGCTTATTATTCAAATAATAAAAATTTTTAAAATATTAATGAAGTTTCCAGAATTATGTAATTACAGTTGAATTATTATATTTTGAAAATATTTTTTACATTTTTAGGTTTTACTGGGATCTGAAAGCTCTTTCAGTTTGAATTCTTACCAGTTAACCATGTCATCTTTAGAAGATTTTGATATTGGTATGTTTCCTCTCATATATATGATGATAAAATTTTAATTTATATAGAGCAAAATATAACTGCTTATATTTTGTAATTTTGTGTGTGTTGAAAAATGTTGTTTTTAATTTTAGCACCCTGATTTACAAATAACAAAGTTTGTGAACTTTAATTACTATTAAAATTTTGATGTTCATTCTCCTAACTTTTACAGAATGATATGCAGAAATTTTATTAATTATGGTATACACATTCATTGATATTCAGTTGATTATGCTTAAATAGGACATACTGGGATTGTTTTGGCCCATTTAAGCTGCAGCTCCAGTTAAATGAATTAATGATAAATTCTAAAATAAAATATGTAATTGGTATATAAATAATAATAAAAAATTATAATTAGGTACATATTTTAATTCTTTTTTAAACTAAAATACTGAAAATATTTGTGCTATAAATTTTACAATTATTTTTTTTTTTTTTTTTTAAATTCTGCAGAAAAGCATCTATTGTAGTCTGCCTTTTGCTTCTGAAATTTTGCAGTTCTACAAAATCGGCATACAGTGCAGATCTAGGGCTTCCTCATAGACTCCAACTACTAAGAATTTTCTGTAGTTTCTACAGAAATTGCTGAAAAGCTGTGAGCTACAGAAAAATCTGTTATCTTTCCAATTATCTCATTCAGTTAGATTGTGATGAGAAAAAAAAGCACCTGATTTTGGGAGCTGTAATTAAACTCGAATTTTTTAAGTTTGTGAATTATGCTGCCTCAAAATAAAAGGCTCAAATTATTTCATTTTTTTATAACTTATGATCACAAATTTAAAGAATTATATTCTACAAAATTCCTATGCATTATAAAACATCTAAAAGTTTCATTGATTTTGCAGTTTGCTGGATATGTTTTCAGTTGCATGTAGCATAAAAGATGACTGTAAACAGCATATCTTTCCTCTAAGGCAGGGGTTCTCAACCGGTAGTACACTTATCACTGGTGGCACGCAAGAGAAAAATAGGTGGTACGTAAAGAAGCAAAGTATTTTTAACTATCAAATTCCAAAAATTAAAATCCTGACATCCTGGTTGAGGTTTTACTCCAACACTCCTAAATTTATACGATCTGAGCTTTATTCAAGGTCAATAGCCGCTTATAGATTTTATCAAGAGGCAAAAGATCTGTCTCCATGGCAGAATTCGTGGTTCTTCCATGTTGTACATTTCACAAATATTCATTTAGCCATAGACATAACAAAATTTTCCATAAATGATGTTTTAAAAGGCACAATATAAATGGATGCTGTATTTAATATGAAATAAAAATAAGTTCCTATAGAAAAGATAATTTTATCTCATTAATTCTTTTAGAGTTTATCGATTTATTAGCATGTCAACACTTTATATGTCGCCATTTCCAGGCTCATATTGCTCCACTTTCAATGAGAACCGTTTTTTACGTCGGTTTGCTGTCTATAACAGTAGGGATTTTGTCTTCTTGTTGCTTTGTATTCCTTACTTTTCTACGCGATTTGAGAATATCATCTGTTTTTGAAGAAGTCGTAATATATTGTGCATTTAATATTTGTGAAAAAATAATAAAACAAACCTAGATTTTCAAAATGAAAAAATGGCTAGGATTGACTAAGCGGAAAAGTGAGGTTACACAGGTGATGTATCTAGGACAATCTACTAGCACTAAAAAATATTGTAAAGAAAAGAAAAATGTTTCTAGAAAATATAATGAAAGTTATTTATCATTTGGGTTTCCTTGGAATGGAGATGAAATGAACCCTCAACCTCAATGTGTTGTTGGCAGTGAACTGTTATCCAATCAAAGTATGAAACCATCGTCTCTTAAAAGATATCTTGAATCTAAGCATGTCAATTTAAAGAATAAATCTGAAATCTATTTTAAGAGGAAATTATCAAAGTTCAAAAATTATAGACAAGTAATGAAAGGTTTTTATTACTTCAAGTGAAAAAGCTTTGGAAGCTAGTTACCTGGTAAGCCTAAGAATTGCTAAGACTGGGCAGGCTCACACTATTGGAAAAAACCTTATATTACAAGCAGCTAAAGATATTGTTTTAACATTATTCAACAAAAAAGAGGCTAATGAACTTAATAAAATTCATTATCAAATGATACAGTAAGTCAATGAATTCATGAAATGACAAATTCCATAAAAGACACTTATTGAAAAAATAAAAGTACTGATGTAATGAACTTTGTTCAATTATTAGTTTGCATATGTTTCGAAGAAGATAAATGAATTGTTGAAGAGTATTTATTTTGTGAATCTCTTCATGATAGAGCAACTGCAAGTGAAATTTTCAAAATAATTGACAATTTTTATGTCTGAGAGTGTCCATCGAATAAGTGCATTGCCGTATGCAGTGACGGAGCTCGGGCTTTAACAGGAAAACATTCCAGAGAGATTTCTCAAATAAAGAAAGCCGCACCTGAAACTAAATTTACAACGAATTTTTTATTTTTATTATTATTTAATATTTCTATTCAGAAATAGGAAAAAGTCATTATAAAATGTAGTGGTGGTACTAAAAGTTTTCAATGAACGGCTGCTCTAAAAAAATTAGAAGCATAAAGAAATTAGAGCTATGAAACTGAAATAGATATGAAATTTCTTTATAAAAGATAATGAATTTTTATGTTATAAAAACCAAATGCTATTTAAATCGATTTTTAATTGAATACTACTTTCCAGTTTCAGTTTTAGACCTTTCAAAGCAGCTTTTAAATGCAGTGTTTTGAAATTCTGCTGAAGCCAAAAAAAAAATGTCATATTGTATTTAGACCAAATTTAATTATGAAAACTCTTGATGCTGTTCTTGTTGAAAAAAGTAAACATACAGGCAAATGAAAAACCATGTTATTAAAAAAAATATCGAATTCGAAACTTAATTTTCGACCATATAGGTATATATATACATATACATATGAATATATATATATATATATATATAATGATATTTTTAAATCAATTGATTAAATTAAATTCTAATAATATTGCTTAATAATGTGTTGGTGATTCTCTACCTAAATTGCATCCCTGTTCCTAAATTTTGGCGAAATCCTTTCTTTAGTATAAAATATATTAACCTGTTGGCGCCCGCCAAATCACCAAAGTCATAAATCTGTCATATTACATAAAGTCCTTAAGAACACTCCTGATGAGAAGATAGCATCACCTCGTGATTTCAATTAATATCGCTGATTGGATGAGCCTCGTGACGCTCACATATGTATAAGTAGGGCTTCTGCTCAAGGTACGAGGAGAACGCTTGTGAGATGGATGCTAAAATAAACCTAGCACTTTATATTCCAAAATTTGTCTCATTCCTGTTGCCCCGGCTGCACAAAACAAATAATGTATGAGAAATTACATTTCATATATATACCTATATGGTCGAAAATTAAGTTTGGAATATATTATGATTATATGTATCTGGTTGTAATGAAAGTTTTTCACCAAAAACATTCTTAATAAAGTTAGAAAAAGAAACATAATATCAGTACCTTTAGTGTGGATAATAATCACCACCCAAATCTGTTATTTTCGGCTAACATTATGGTAGTTTTTCAAAGCCTTCGGCCCAGAAACTTAGTAGTTGGGAGTCCAAAAACCAGATATTCCAGATAAATCTCATTTTGGACGTGCAGAATGGAAGATAGCACCATTTTGCATAGACGTCCAAAATATTCAGACTGTTGTAGGAGCAGATGTGAAAAAAGGTAGAAGTCTAAAGGAGTGATGTTGGGGCTATGTGGTGGGTGTGGCAAAATATTTCCATACAGAGTCTAGCCAGTGAATGCAAATACATGTGGTCTTACATTATCTTGATGCAGCATTACCTTTTTGCAGCGGAACTCAGTTTGACGTGTATCCTTGATAGCAGCATTAACATGGACTAGCATCTCGCTGTACACCTTACTGTGGAGGGTTTTACCTTTTTCCAGATCCAATTTGTGGATAATACCACAGCGATCCCACCAGGTACAAAGCATGATCTTTTTGTTAGTCAAATTGTAGTTTGCGATGCAGCCGACGGGCTCACTGTGCTCAGACTAACCCCCTTTATGATCTTTGTTGTGGAAGTAAATCCACTTTTCATCACACATGACGATCTGGTCCAGAATGTTGTCCTTGCGTTTATATTAGTGCAGATTAGTACAGGCCTGAAAACATCTATCCTTATCTGCTTGAATCAGCTCACGTGACACCCAGCGACTGAACTTGTACATCAGGTTTATGCATAGCGCAACTACTGGACTTGACACTAACGTCTAACTACTTAGCAAGTTCTCGCAGGCAGACCTTATGAAGGTATTTCATATTTGAAAAATTGCATATAAAATATGCTCCTTATAATATGTGGTATTGACCTTGACATTTTTCTCCACACATTCTTTAATTTTTATTTACTGTTTTTTGAGAAACTAGTGGCAATAATAAATCCTTTTGAAAAACTTTCTTTAGATTCTTTGATCCACATTTTAAGTTTTTTTTTTTTTTTTTTGTTGTTGTTGTTTAAGGTTTTGATAAATGGATCTCTTTTTATTGCAGTCATTTAAATAAACCCAAGATTCATCTATTGTGGCAACATTTCTCCATTTTTGTCCAGATAAGTGTTTCTCTTAAAGAATTCTGCATACGTCCATATATCGGGGAGAAAAATGATGCGCATGATGATTTTCCGCCTTTCTAAGATTCAAATCAACATTAAACACCTTGTTTATAGTTGACTGAACATTTTAATGATTTTGGAACTCTCTTTTAACTCAGAGAATTTTTTTCCAATATTTAAGATCTTACCTTCGAAACATTCTGTTTTTTTCCTTGCATATGTATTTGGTGCTTTTTTTTCTACTCGACACCAAACTTTGACATTTTTCACTTTATTGTTGACAGCATTACCTGTTATAGCTTTAGATACTGTAAAACAATGGTTTCACAGTGTATTTTAATAACTAGGTTCGAATAGTTTTCTTCTGAGAAAAGACAAATTTAGCCTTCCATCCATTGCTTCTTTAAAAGCAACATTTTGCATGAAAACAAATCTCTCAAGCAGCAAACAATACTTTATACTTTCAGAGACATAATTGCAGTTAAAAAAAATAATTTTCAAACAGGTAATTTTTTAAAACAAAGCAAAATCGGCTAAAATGTTTGTAAACAGCCTCTGTATATTAATAGATTTAGAAATATTTCTACTTGATTAATGAAATGAAAATTTCTAAGCAATATGCATATAATTTACGAAAAGTATTTTTAATTATTCAATTTTTTATATTTATCGATTTTTAAGTTAAATGTAATTAAATCGATTACATTTAACAGTCCATTAAAAGTTAACAAATGATGACTTAAAAAATATGCCTTACATGCACAAAGCTGTAAAAATATCGTTCACACATTGACTCCTGACAAGTTTTGCTATAAGTTGGGGTCTGTGCTTCCTTCATCACCCTCTTGCATAAAACAACCCTCTTGCATATAATAGCACTTCATCACCCTCTTGCATATAATAGAACTGTAAATTTTTTTACCTCCACAAGCACAAGCTCTCAACATCACTTTCTTGTTCTCATCATTGTTTAGTTAAATATATACTAGTTTTACCTAGTATATATTTAACTAAACAACATTTCTTCCCCCTTGAATTGGAAAAGCTTCACAGAACTCCAATTAAACAATAGCAGAAGCTTTGTGGGTAAATTTCATAGATGCAAAGTCAAAATTGTGATGAAATGTGTAACGATGATTAGCTGTCTAAGATTTTTTATTTGTGTTTTCTGAACATGTGTTTTAATGCTCTTTTAGTTTGGTTAATCTGTATCAGATCACACTGGTACAATATATTATAAATTGTCTGAGAATTTTAACTATAAATGGGAACTTTAATAATTGAAAGGTTATTATGGTTATTTCTAATAGTCAAATATCTTTCTTGATGGCAAGAAAAAAAGATATTTGAAGGCTTTATTAGTGACTATGAGACAACATCCTCTGTCGATGCCAACTGATTTCAAATATTTGAGTTCATGAGAAAGAAAAGATTCTGGAAAATGGACTTATTAATGAAAATATATATAAGAGTAAAAAAGTAGTTGTTTTTTGTTTCACAGTTTGATATAATTTAGCATGGTTAGGCAAACAGAAAATATTCCCAGTAAATAGTAGTGTTGAAATCAGATTCATTGTGAATAACTGGGAAGAAAAGGAAGGTGATTATCATATTCAGTTTCAGAAGTGAACTGGATAGGTGGATCATTTGAATTCACAACATATAAAATCTTGTTTAACATAGCAAATTCGGAGCCAAGAAGTATTCCGAGTCTTTTCGTAAATTCATCTTAGAATAGTGCATGTAAATGTCAGCAAGTACTGGACTAAGGGAAATATTGAAATATTCAAGCTGTCCTTTAGTTTGGCGATAGTAATCATTTTGGTAAACAAAGTGTGTCTGACTCAAAGAAACTATTATGAGGCTATTAATTCCTCAATTTCAATATATGTGAAATGGAATTCTCGGAATCTGGTTTCAAAACATTTTAATGCTTTCTCGATTAGAGCATTAGAGAACAATGATTTAACATCAAAAGAATCCACAAATGAACTGTAGGAAGAATAGCCTTAAGTTTATTGACAATTTCAAAAGAATTTAGTACTGTGTAAATAATGTTAGAATGTAGTGGAGAAATCTGAAAACCAAATATTTGTCTAAAGTGTTGTTGTTCCTTAGATAGAAACTACAGTATGAGAAGCATAAAGAAGAGCATAAAATCTAGCACAGTTAGCAATAGGTAATGATTTTTTAACTGATTTGGGTGTGTATGAGAAGCTGTTTTAACCTTTCAGAGGTCAGAAACTGAAAGTTGTGTAGGGATCAGGCAGTACAGACTTTTAAATTATCAGTTTTATGATTTCATCAATGTATTGGTGTTTGTTCCTAACAACAATCTGCCCACCTTTATTAACTTTGGAATTAATAATATTTGGGTTAGAATGAATTTCAAGCACTGCTTTTTCCTTTTGGTTAAGATTCAGAATGACAGATGTTTTATTAAGATTAACAATGTAGTTGATAGCTCTTCCAAAAGTTTCCAGTTACCTAATGTATGCGGAAATGATTATTTCTGTTAGCAGTTAAACACTAGACTAAGTATACCCTAAGGCCATTCAGAAACTTTAATACAGTCAAAAGTCGTTAATTTGGACACCCATAATCCGGAATGATCTATAAACCGGACCTCAAAGCTACAAACTTTCTGCGCATGCGTCGCGTTCACGCATGCGCATAGGCGTTTACGAGTGCGCATAAGACCTTACGGCTGCGAATATGCTGTGCGATGCGCGTTTAATGTGTAACGGACATTAAGCTAAACTAAAATTATCTATTCAGTTTAATGTGCAGATTCCGTTGTTCCTTAATCTGCGAATTGGATCCGCTTATTATTTTTGCAGACTGTTAGAGCAATTTTATAAAAGTAAGCTTGAATTTTCGATTATGTCAAATAGAATTTCCGAAATATATTTACTAATATGTAAAGGATCTACAAAGCGAAAGTATGTTTCGAAATCCGAAATCTGTTTATCAATTTCACACCGCAGCGCGCAATGAATTGGAAATTGATCTGTCAGCACTATCCTTATGTTCAGGGCAGATGTTTTTATTTTATTTGGCTTATAATTCCTTACTAAATGTAGTATTTCATCTCGATGTACTCCGTACTTGATATGATTTAAATCAAGTTCCTCGTCATTATAATTTGCTTCCCATAGTGAAGAAAGTGGCACAGAGGTTATTGAAAACGAAAAAATTTCGATTGACAAATTAGTCGGTATTCTCAATACAGCAATTATAGGACTTGAACAGCGGAACTGTGTAACTAAACAAGAAATTATGTCTGTTTAATAGAATTAAAGAGAAAGTATTATCCTGTGAAACGAAGCAACTTAAACAACTTACATTGAAAGAAATGTTTAATAAAGTGAACAAATAAATATTAAGCTTTTTCTTTTTGTAAATTTTGATACCCATTAGATCATAATTGTTCTTTATTTCATAAATTACGGTTTCATATTTCTGATTTTGTAATTTCTGCATGCCATCTTACCAGATTTAAACTGATGATCTATAATCCGGAATCGCCGAATTCCCGACGAGTCTGGATTAACGACTTTTGACTGTAAAATGAAGTATTTTTCTATTGATGTCATCATGTTTCATACATAGCCTTAAAAAACTTTACCTGAGTCTAATCTTGTAAAAAAAAAATTATGATTATTGCTGAACTATTAATAGATGCGGGAACTTTTTTAATGATTATATCAAATTATAAATTTTGTTTTTTGTTTTGTTAGAAAATATTAATGTTGTTAATTTTTGAATTTTTATGCATTTTAATATAGATTGAGATTGATTGTTTGTCCTACTGCTATATTTTTACTCCTGTAGCTTTTCATTAATAGATTTTCATTTTTTGCTTAGGTTCCAGTCCCCATTTCAAAATGAGAAATAGTTGGTTAACAGAAGATTCTCTTAACTCTATGACACTTCCTTTTGAACCACTGCCAGATTAATTAATTGTACATATGAAAATACATCTTATACTATTGTATATATTGTATATTCTGTACATATAATTATTTTTAATATTTAAAATTATATATGTACATAATGGTTTAATGTGTGATTTACTAGATTTTCTTTTGCATATCCCTTCACATTCAAACCATTGTTGATCCTAATTAAAATATTTTAAGTGTGTTATCATTCTGCAAAGCATAAAATATTTAAATTTTCACAAATTATCTTGCTTTTTATTGCATCATACGTATTTTCTTTGCTTCTTGAAAGTGAATTTGTAGTAATCGTTACAAAGCATTACTTTCTTTTTTAAATCAATTTTGCCACTAAAACGAAAATCCGATCTACACCTCAAGTATGAAAGATATCACCAGCTTCAGAAACAAGACTGTGAAATGTTAGATCAAGATCAAGCCCATTCGTCTGAAATAGACGAACAATGGTAAGCAAGACTGGAAAACTCTTGAGTATGCACTGCTCAAGCCCATTCATCAGAAACAGATGAGCAACGCAACACAAGTCTATAAAACGTTCGAGTACGCACTGCTCGATTCAGACAAATACTGCATGTTGATTTAAATCTTGGTGCATTCCATTACGATGCTAATCATGATTACAGTCTTGATCCAAGTATGATCGTTGGGAAGATGGATAAAGCATACATGTATTGCAGAGTCCTCGAATTCAAGAATGAAGCACCAGAAATGTGCTTCGCAGGTGGAAAAGTGAAATTTCCAGCATTAAATTCACAACACAAACCATTATCAACCTTGGTATCAGGTGACACTAGCCAATTAAAACATGCAAAATACGCATAAAAAAGTCTCATAACAGAATTAAAACACATTATTCCCTAACTTAATCATTTACTTTATTTTGTAATTATGTTTCACAGTCACTATATTAGCAAATCAGGACTTACACGAATACATATATTTGGTACACTCATACGGCTCATGCTGTCATGACAGCAATGAAAAATTAATAGACCTGCACTTACCATGAAAGCATTTAAAGAAACCCAAAATTTTGCATGCTTATACCTGAAAACTTCTGACCGAACCGTGCGCCTACTTTGAGTCCCTAGAGTTAGTTAAAAATGCAGAATACTCATATTTCGATCTGGGTTTGAATTTGGGCAAATAGGCTGGCTGAATGGTTGATTATCCCTGTGCGTAATGTTAATAAAAGCTAGTTTGTCTTAGAAAGTCCTCCACAAAAGCATTCCTACCCTTAGACAGATAGCTCTTATGCTCTTTGTCATATTTAAATAATTCACTGGGGTTTATTCTCTGTATCGCTAAAAATCACATATGAATGTTTATTAATTTTCTGTTATAAATATGATGATTACTCTTCTAAACTCATTTTTATAAAAAATATAAAATTTGCATTTTTAACATTTAGACATCATATCAAATCTAAATTAGTGTACACTCTACATATTACATCTAAATTAAACTTTCATTACTGAATCAATAATACACAAAGTAACTGATATAAATTACATTATACTGTAATGTAAAATAAAAATACTTGATAACATTCAGAAAGATATAATGAAATTTTCTTGCAGAAAATTGAATAAAATATGAGAAATAATTAGGCATTCTGTTTTATTATTACGTAATTTAAATAAATTATTTTAATACATATTCTCTTGTAGAGCAATAAGAGTTACAGGTTTGGGCAATAATTGTCCTTATATTCATCAAGAATATGATTCTTCAGCTAACCAGCTTCTATTTTTTAATTGTAAGGGATTCTGTAACTTGAGATGTGCCAAGAGAAGAAGAAGTGGCTATTCTACTTCTTCAAGGTGATGTTCTTCAGAAATAAACATTATGTTCAAATAAACATCTCAAGATATTAAAAAGCGAATTGAGGCTGAAGTAGGCTGCAGTAGTAATAAATTGCTGAATGCTAGCCTATCGAACCTAGGTTGGCTGCATAAATGTTTTTGTAGTTTTCCCCATATGTAATGCAAATACAAGTCAGTTTCCTTAGAAATTACTCCGCAAAGGCATCTCTGTCCTTAGATAAATAGCCTTTTTGTGCTTTGACTTATTCAAATAAATTAATTGAAGCTGAAATGGCTATGCAGCTTTTGCTCACGCCAGAAAGAACAAGGATGTCCAAACAAAAATATAGTTTGTTGGATCACACATTCCTTTTGTTACTGCCATATACGATTCATTTACTTATGGCGTCAGGAGTTGACCGAACTACGACTTGCTTCAAATGAATCACGATGCAATTGAATGGAATAATTACATAATAAAGGCATGTGCCAATTCTTTGTTATCTTGTCCTATTGTTAAAAACCAATTGACAAAACAAAATTGTAGAAACTGATTCACAAAAAGAAAAAATAATAATAAAGTGTTCTTTCCCTCCCACTTTTTTAAGTATTTTATTAGGAAATTGGAGAATATTCTATGCTGCTGTTCCCAATCATTCCATTTGATGTATTGTAGTATTGATCCAATAGTGTGGGGAAAGAAGTAAGCCAAAATGTGCACCGCAAATGCTTGGTATGACTTTAACAGGAATGAATTTCTTTAGGATACTTTTGATAAGCAAAATGAGAACTAAGATAGCAGGTTTCACAATTTTAAGAACATAGATGACTACACACACTTTAACACCACGAGTGATGTTATCTGCAGGATTGTCTGATCCGGGACAATGATACCACATATTCGACGATATTTTACCTTACATTTCTGACACGCGATTTTGTACGAATGCTTTCCATCACCGTGGTGAATTCTTTATTTAGTGAAGCACAGAGAATCGGCCCATAAATAAATCTTGGCTTGAGGAAAATGCACACGAACATTGTTTTGAAAAGAGCCACTATTGGCTATCACTAAACTTGCTCTGGAACATTCAGAGCTACGGAATTTCACATTAGAATTCCATTTGGTCTGAGTCATTGATGTCATTTTTATTATATTAACTTCATGATATATCTTGTAAGATTCTAGCTAAATTAACTGAATTGTGAAGCCACTATTTGCTAAGTTCAAACTATATCAATAATAAGACGTGAGAAGGATGAAAAGACCTTTTTATTCAATTGAAGAAGGAATTTACAGATTGCAGTCCTAGTGCTTACAAACTTAGCCAATAATTTTGGCTGCAACTCAAATAGAAATATAACATTGAAACTAAGTTAAATAATGAGCTGAAGCTTCACAGAGATAAATAACGCGAATTGGCTGTTTGCCGTACCAACGATGTAAGCAACCCGGCAATTAATATGCATGGCCGTAAATTTGAAACTTAACTCAGTGAAACAACGTGGTGGAGCGTCAGAACACTGAGTCTGAAGTAATTCAAACACCAGTAGTTAAATAGTATCTTTCTCATGGCCTGTGTTAGGTATATTACTGCCCAGCGCAATCTCTGCGGGTCCTCATCTCTGCTGCCGAATGTATAGTTAAAGTCTAAAACTTTTCCCGCACCTAAATTTCAAAGTTTTTGCATACCTAAATGCTGCTTGTGCTTCTAAGAAAAAAAAAATCGGCCGCACCTGTCTGGTGCAGGCTCTGTCTACTTTGCATAACACGGGAAGCTGAAATGTCATTCTAGCACGAAGCGAAAATTAGGGAAGATAAAAAAGATAAGTGACTGAATAAAACTTGTTAGTTTAAAACTAAATACTTCTTTACGATCTGTGCAGCAGCTTCTTCCTGCATATCTGATCCACAAATGAAGTCGTTCGCAAAATTTCTACAGTTCTGAGATAGATATTTTCAAATTTCTTTAAATGTAGTTTAATACAAGAGTTCAGCAAAAATGGGCTTGATTTCGCTCCAAAAATTACACGACACATCCGATAAACTTGAATTTTCGGATTGGTCAAACTTCAATTCTCGTTAATCTGTAAAAATTGCATAGCATCCTGATCTTCAGAAACAATAGAAATTTGAAAAAACGCTTTCTAAATGTCTGACGTAAATGCAATTCAATGAAGTCAGAAATTTATTAAAACTTTTATTTAAAGTACAGGAAAATGATTTGTTCTTTAAAGTAAATTATCATTTAAAGGTTCATGATTTTTTTCCTTTGAAGAAGCATCATAAACAATGCGAAGTTTTGTCTAATTATGATCTTCACGGTGAGAAATATGTATAATAGTTTCATTTCCCAGAGAGTACGACCTTTTCCTATTATTTCTTCCTTAAATTGACTGTCTATCACTTTTCAATATTGCGCGTAAAAGCTCAAGTTTGATTCAAATTTCCAGATCGTGTTCAGCATTTTTAAAATTGTCACATTTTCATCTTTCCGGGGAAGTCTAACTTCATATCGATCTCCTTTTTGAGTAATCGTGTTTTCAAATATTTGAAAAGCCATTTCTTTCTTTCTTTCTTTCTTTTTTTTTTTTTTTCTCTGCCCTTGATGAGGGATATTTTCTATTCCTATGGATTCAATATCCCAAAACGATTCGAAGCTTTTTAAAAGTTTCTCTTCTATACTTAGCTTTTAAACACGCAACGTGCATTTGAAAATCCGAAGAAAAAAATCCTCTTTGTGTACACCAACCAAACAAGGTTTCATCGCTACGACGTTGCTGCTTATCCTTTTTAATTCTTCACTTGCTATTTTCCGTACATTATCCGAGACGATTAAAACGGATCTCATGACGCGATCTCTCTGTGGACACCCCTGGGACCTGTCAAAGTGATGCCGAATGTTTGGAACTTGGACTTGATCTCTACATGTGGTATTTGTATGTCCGCATTTCTAATGACTGGTACTTAGATGACTTTAAGGGTTATATATTTTTCAGGCTCATTAGTATTTCGCAGAGTAAGTACAACTTTCTTTCGACGCCAATGTTTTCCGTTCTTTTCACTGAAAGTATGCAGATTTAAAATAGTTTTTCCTTTCACTGGTAACTTTAATTTCTTGATAAATCTTCTCAAATAGCAGAGATTTGTCCACCGCCGTCAAGAAGAGACCTCACAATACTTCTTCCCTCGACCCACAGCATGCACCGCTTGAAGCATAATATTATGTCCAGTTTTAGCAGAAAAAATTCTGAGCAATTTCCGTCGATGTTTCTGTCTCCGTATTTTT